TGTGTGTGTGTGTGTGTGTGTCTGTGGCCAGCTCAGCCCACCAGGGGGCGGGGCTGCCTGGCATGTGGTGCTGGGGGATTGAACCACGGTCCCTTTGCTTTGCTAAGCTTGTTCTAAGTAGGTGCTTTAGACCACTGAGCCATCTCACCAGCCCTCTGCAAAGTTTTGAATTTTTTTTTTTTTTTTTTTTGTATTTTTTAGGGAAGAGTCTATAAGATGTGCAGGGTATCTCTACTAGATCGAACTTGTAGTGATTTTTTTTTTTTTTTTTGGCTTGAGACAGGGTCTCACTGTGCAGTTCAGGCTGGCCTTGAGCTCACTTTTTGTAGCCAAGGCTGGTTTCCACCTCAAAATAACTTTTTGCCTCAGCCTCCTGAAGACTGGGATTACAGGCATGCACTATCATGCCTGGCTGTTAAAATTCATTTTTTAATTTAATGTATTATTTTTATAGTGGTAGGGATCCTTCCAGGGCCTCACTCATGTTAGACACTCTGTCACTGAACTACATCTTCAACTGCTGTGTCTTACCTTTTGAAAAGAAGTCTCTTGCTAGCAAAGTCAATAGTAATTTTATGATACCCAGCATTACCTTGGTCAAGTCAACAGGGGCATTATTGGTATTCTGCGAAGGCTAACTGCTGTGGGGAACAAACTTGTGTACTATAGAATGCTGGGCGAGACACCTGGCTTTTACCCAGTTCCCAAGCCACTCATACACCTGCCCTAACGTTAGGACAACCAAGTAGGTCTCTTGACATTGAGAACATCCTCTGCAAAAGAACTCCCAGTTGAGAAGGCACATCTTATTGATATGTGCTACTGAATGACCACACCCTAAAAAGTGTATTAGAGGGCTGAAGGAGTTAGCACTCATCTGGCATGCATGAGCACGTGAGTACCACCACCACCACCACCACCACAGCCACCACCACAGCTGCCACCATTGCCACAAAAAAAAAAAGTTTGTGAAAAAGAAGATATTTAACTCTTAATTCAATGAATAGAGAGATTTGTTCTAATAGTGTTTGTGGACAGGATATCATTTCTGCATCTTGTACAATGAATAACCACTAAGACAACAGTATGCAATGTATTAATTATTGAAACTGCTACTAATCGGTTTTGAAACTGTCTCATTGCTATTTATTTCTCAATAAAATTATTTAAAAAAAAAGATATTTAAGAATAAGCCCAGTAGATATTTTAATGAATGCAATGGTCCTGCCATTCTTTATTTTCCAAAATAATACAATTTTCAGAAGAAAAAGAAATGTACACTTTAAATTCTGATTATACATTTTTTTAACCATTGAGTAATAAAAGAATCAATCTTAGTACTTTTTAAGTGCCTTCAATGTCTGAGAATACAAATTACAGTACAATAAACATTTAAACACTGGAGTAAGCTCACTTGAAAAGGAAAGACACTAGCACTCAGTAACACTAAAGAAGCAAAATCACTGGAGATGGGGAAGCTTAAGAGCCTTGATGTGGAAATCTATCTTTAACATAGAGTCACAATCAATCCAATCTTCCCACCTACATTTTTAGAAACATGGGTGCAAAAATATATGAAAGGTAAGTCTCTATAGGTTTTCGCAGAGCTAGGAGAATTAACCTTAAACAATATGAAATGGTTTTTCCATTAAAAAGCCTTGAAAAAGTTGTATCCTGATGCACTATAAAAGAAAGTCAGTGAAACTTTTATGTTTGCATTTCAAATAATGATTTTCATTTTTTAAAACAACAATTAAAATCTTTTGATAGCCAGGCATGGTGACACATGGCCATAAGCCCAGCACTAAGGAGGCTGAGGCAAGAAGATGTTGCAAATTTGAGACCAGCCTGGGCTACAAAGTAAGCTCAAAGTCAGTCTGAACTGCATAGTTAGATCCTGTCTCAAAAAAAGAAAAACAAAACAAAATCTTTTAATAAAACTTTAAAGGCACAGTGAAGAGATGAATATTTGAAGCCAGGCATGGTGGCACACACCTTGTAATCCCAACAACACTCAC